ATTAATATTGTAAATTTTAAAATACACTAATTATTATTACTACTCCCTCCCTCCCTCCCTCCCTCTCTCTCTCTCTCTTAATTGTCTTTTCTAAATGTAATAATAGCATTCATTAAAATAAGAAGCCTTGGAAAACCCAAAGGTTTCTCTCTCTTAGTGTGTAGCTTTATTAATCTAATCAAGATAAGCAATTATTAATTTTTTATATTTTTAAAACAAAACAAAATAGGAAAAAAGCAAAAAATTGAGAAAATAGATAAATAACTTTTCTCAAAAAGTAAATTTAATGGGTATATTTTTTAATTTTTGATAATTTATCATATTTATTGGAAATCATGTTAATCCATTTTTGGTAATTATGACAAAATTATTGGTATTTTATTTTTGGCTATTTTCTTGGCTAACTTCTGTTCATTAAATATAATTTTCTGCTACTTATAGCTTAAATTATATTTAAATAAATAATTTAAATATAATTACTTTTAATTATAGTTTAAAACTTAATTATATTACTTATAGTTTCAAATTAATATATTTGATTAATAAATACAGTATTTTAATAAACACTGTTAATTAATAAATACTGTAATTAATATTACTGCAATTATTGAAAATACTGTAAAATATGGTTAATAAAAAATAATATTTTTAATAAATAATGTTAATTAATTAAAATACTATAATTGTTAAAAATGTTGTAATTATTAAAAGTATTATATTAATTATAAATACTGTTAATTAATAAATTCAATATTTAATAAATACTTTTAATTAATTAATAATATTGTAATTATCAAAAATACTGTATTAATTAAAAGTATAGTTAATACTGTTAATTAATAAAATAATGTAATTATTTAATTACTGTTAAACAATAAAGACTGTAATTGTTAATACTGGTTTTTAATAAATTACAACGTACATTATATTAATTAATAAATACATGATTAATACTGATTTTGAATAAATACTGATAATTATTTAAAGATACCATAGTTAATACTTAATACTGTTAATTAATAAATACTGTATTTGTTAATACTGTTTTGTTAATAAATAAATTATTTAATATTGTTTTTTGAATAAATACTGATAATTATTTAAAAATACTATGATTATTAAAAATACTTTCAATTCATAAATACATTATTTTTAATAAATACAGTTAATTAATAAAAATATTGTAATTATTATTAATACTGTAAATTTTAAAACATAGTAATTATTATTACTATCCCTCCATCCTCTCTCTCTCTCTCTCTCCCTCTCTCTCCCTCTCTCTTTAATGTCTTTTTTAAATGTAATAATAACATGCATTAAAATAAGTGGCCTGAGAAATCCCAAAGGTCTCTCTCTCTAATAGTTTGCAGTTTTATTAATCTAGTCAAAATGGGCAATGATTATTTTTTTTATATTTTTAAAATAAAAGAAAATAAAAAAATATAAAAAATAGATAAATAGCTTCTCTCAAAGAAGAGACATGCTGACATGGACCGTCCAATTTTATTATATATATAGATGGCTAATTCATTTATTTCTTGAAGTTTGCTCATGGTCTTCTTGGTTGATATACTATTGTATTGGCTGCCTTGTTGCAATGAATGATAAAACACACTTGGGTTTACTTGCTACTGGCTGTTAATACCACTATCACAGTTTCGAATTATTCTTAGGGGGGGGGGGGGGAGCATCCTACAAGGCCAGTAAATTTTAGAACATTAATAAATTATGGAGGGGCTCTTTGGAGAATCTACCTCAATATCCATTGCCTACTCTTTTTTTTTTTTGCTCGAAAAGAGCAAACTAGGGCTACACAACACGGGGTGGGGTAGCCCTCCCCCAGAAATCGCTAAGGTCCTGTTAGTTTTTTGGGAAGCTACTTACCCAGGAAAACACATTTACCCGGGTAAGTGCACTTATGCATGTTCTTTTATTTCCCAGGTAAATAAGACAATGGCCATTTCAGCCATAAAAAAGTCAATATTGAAAGGGCAATTTTGTCCCATCCAAGTGTTGGCAAATTCTCCCCAGGTGGAAAATTTATTTACCTACTTGGGAGATGGATATACCCAGGGAAAATGAATTTTCTATAAACCCCACATAAATCTGGACCCTAAAGCAAATAATAGATAAAACCCTACTTTTAATGATATTCTTTATGCCCGATGGGGCCACTTGGGGGGATGTTGTAACCTCTCAGGCAATTCACCGCAAGCTTGGAGTCTTCTTGATAATAATATTCGTCAAGTAGAAGGATCTTGCTAGCCCACTTCACCAACATCATTTCTTCTAGAAGCATCAAAATTTACTTTAATATAGGATTTGCTCAAAAAAAAAAAAAACTTCAATACAGGATTCTCTTGGAGGAGTCCACTTAACCCACTTCACCAACATCATCCTAATATCAGAAGAGTTAAGACAATTGAACTCTCTAAATTCCATCCACTCATCACGGGCTTTATTGAATAAATAAGCTGGAGGGAAATATTTTTAAACACCTTCTGGTTCCCGTTTTTCCTTAAACTCCATAAAATGAACACAAGAAAATCGGTACCACTCCATTTGTATTGTTATGAATTCTTCCCCAGCAATTTACAATCGAGTCTTCGCCATCAAATAGGTCTTATTGATGGCCAAGTCAGTAGACTCCAAACTTGTTTTGCATAATCACAATTCAGAAAAATGTGAGCACAACCTTCCCTCTCTCCACAAGTTGCACACTCTTCAATATTCACTCCCCGCTGTCTTAAGAGACATCTAGTTGGAGGCCTGTTAACTAGGAGGATCAAGATTCAAGAAAATGAGTTTGAGATTAATGAAGATCGAATACTATAGGCTGTTTTAATCAAAACACGCATAGGGCTCAGTTTCCAAATCATCTGTACCTTCCTTAGATGGGATAAGAAAGCTCTGATTTTGTTCCACAAATCTAAACCTAGGAGACTAGAAATTTTGTTCTCATCCCATTTTTTCCTGTGGCCATGATATCACATACTTTGCTTTCAGAGTTCGACAACTCGCTTCTATCTACCTGGGTTTCAATGGGTGGGTCTCCCATGCAGGTCTTAGTCCACAGATTTATGCTTTTATCATTTCCCACAATCCAAAGTGTACCCTTTTTTAGGAACTCCTGACTTAATATTCCTCTCCAAGCCCATGAACTTCCCTTCTTAGCTTTGGCTTCCCAAAAACTTGATTTTTTTTCAAGTACTTGTTTCTCATTGTTCGGACCCACAGATTCATAACCTCAGTTGCCTACTCATGTTGTAAGAAGGGTATCCCAAATGAATTTGAAGTATGAATATTGTTCTTTCTGTGCTATATACGCTAGTCATACAATAGTCCTTGGTATTAGTTGTATGGATACAGGCATACAGCGCAAAGCTGTACACTACTATGAGGATCACCCATGTAAGATAGAAGGCTTTGCTTAATTCTCTAAATTTAAAGATCATTCATTTCATTAATATTTACAGAATACCAATTTAGTGATCCATTTTTATCAAAATTTTAGTTGAACCTTTCCATATAGCAGTGTTTTATTTGAATTACATGCAACCCCAAGTTAAATAAAACTTATGTTATATTACTTGTCATACCATCAAGGATGGTCTAGTGATGCGTAGCCGTACCTCTGATTTGAAAGAATCAAATTCCAATGATATGTGAAGAATGGCATCAACATTGGCCATTTCACCCATGCCATGCGCTGCCAACTTAGAAACCGATACAATACACCCTGTATTGAAGATACTGTATCGATGTTTTAAGCCTTAATCATATGTCTCAAGGTTTTGCAGGATTGGATTTGGTTAAGACCCTGAGGGTACTCTCAATTTCTGGCAGAATATCTTACAAACGAAGTATTAGGTGTTTGATTTATTAAGTGTCCCACTAATTGAACCTGTAGGTTGAAAGGAGGCTAGTTGAACAACTAAAGGTGGTGTTCTGGATAAGCTGAATTGGAAATGGTGTACGATATAATGTCAAAATCAATTCTAAACTACTAAATCCATATAAAAGATTTATATGGGGGGTTGAACTTGTTATATACAACATGAAAATATATATACACAATTACACATTTCCTTTTTGTTCATTCAGATAAGCAGTTCTGATGCACATGGGAACTTGGTTCACGCAGAAACATGCATTCCCAATACAGTTTTAAGACATTTTATCTGACGTTACCTTGATGTAAAACATGTATTCCCCAACCTTGCTCTTTGCCCCGTTCGACAGTAGACAATATAAGTAGTAATATATCCTCAGCGTCCTCCTTGCTCATCAACTCCATGCTTGTCTGCGAGAGTGGTAGTATAGTGGGAGTGCTACAGTTTTTTGTCCTTGTGCTGCTTCTCTTTAGTTGTTGCTGCCATGACACAGTCTCTGAACTGCTTCCAACAACATTTACCACATTCTCTTCTCTATCAGCATGGATTACGCTATCCAAGCCTATCTCAGTCTCTATTACCCAATCTGGATCTGCGACACCACAAAATTCTGGTGTACCTAGTTCCTTTAAACTAGAACACCTAACAACCAAAATCAGCCTTTCAGTGATTACAACAAAGTTCCCCGACTGTTTCAGTGTTTTGCACTTAACAAACACTTCATCCTTCAGCTTGCCATCACCAGCCTCCAGAAGCAATGATGTCCCAATTGCTTCTTCCCAGGAGTAGGGCCTCAGTGGAAGTTCTCTGGATAGAGGTCTTGGAAGACGGACACGAAATCGGCGGGTTTGGTAGAGGTTGCTTTGGTTTCTGATGCTCTGTGCAGTTTTTCCGGTGACTTCAAGAATGCTAGCCATAGGTCGTGCTACAACTCCTGCAGTTCCTAGAGCTATACCTGCAGGAATGAGAAAAATCCATCTTAAGTTGATCAAGCAACCTTTATGAATCTATATGAATGAGGGCCTTGCATTCAAGCTATTAAAGCATGCCTAGTGCTACCTGAAAGAACACCAGGCAGGCCATGTTTCTCGGCTCCTCTGATTGGTGACTGGAGAAGTCCAGTTAGGCCCTGAGAAAGAAAAAAAATCAAGGGGCATTATTAAGTTAACCATGCTATATGGTTACTTTGTTGAACATCCAGAAAATCCATATATTTAGTTTCAAGAGTTTTGTGGAAAAGAATGCCAGAAAAGCTATTTACAACGATGCTAATACTAATGATCTTTGATTACAGATAAAATTTTAAAATAAAATTCAGCAATTCAAGTTTAAATTAGGGTCTGGCACATTGAACTTCAGTTGTCATTGTAGGCAAACATGGTAAGGGAAGTCAACAAGTTTTAGGTTCTCCTAAATAATGAATTGACGACTGTATCAAAAGAATAGCAAGATAGCTGAGCCCATATAGTTGGCATAAGGCTTGGGAGATGATGATGATGTTGACGATGATCAAAAGAATAGCAAGATAACCAATACCCATGTCTCTTTTTTATCAACATCCATGTTGCAATGAAAAGCTTTTGATGCTCAATTCACATTACATCTAGAAAAAAGAAAGTCAATGTTATATGTAACATAGTGATCAATATTTTATTTCTTTTTCAAAAACTTACATATTAATTTCACAAATGACATTAGTTGAATAATCAGATAGTCCCGTGTGAAAGAAAGAAAAAAAAAGAAAGAACAAAGTTGAGAGGTGAATGTAAGAGAGAGAGGCAAGTGCCCCTTCTATTAGATCTTATAGTTTGGGTTACAAACCCATAAAAAGGCAGTCCATTATATTGCCTCCCATAAGTGGATCACAGAAGTCATTCATGCTCAACTTGTGAAATACAATAAGCAATTTGGTTCTTACAACTGTTTAGGTTTAAAAATCAGCCAATTGGTCATCAGGAAACCTCTTGTGTCATTTTTTTTTCATGAATAAGTGCCTATACACTTCAATATATTCAGCAGTCATGCTGTACCAGATTGTGAGCTATGATAACAGCTTTGTTGTCACAACACTACAACTTCATCCTATCCACTTACAACCCTAGTTTAGTCAATAACAACTTCATCCATAAAAATTTCAGGTATACAAGATCATAATCATCATCATCATTATCATCTAAGCTTTATCCCAACTAGACCTGTTCATGGGCTGGGTAGCCCGATGGGCTGGCCCTGCCCGGCCCGTCCTAAATCGGGCTTGGACAAAATTTTAAGCTCGTGGACTCGGGCTCTAAAAATCGGGCACGACTATTTTTTGGGCCGGGCTCGGGCTTTCCCAAATAAGCCTGTCCCGATAATATTAAATATATAATAGAAATATAATATTTAATAATATAATATATATTATATAGAAGTAAAATTAGTAGCAAAAAAGTATTATATATATTAAATGTATAAAATATTATATAATATATAATTAATATATTTGGTACCAATATCTCTATAACCCAAAATAATTTGGTATAAGAATTGAGAAACTGTTTTATTTTTCTATGGATTCCTTCCTTGCTTCTTTAAATACCTATCAAAATCAGGCTTTGGGATTTATATAGGGCCGGGCTCGGGCCTGGTGATTTTCTGTTTATAAAGAGGCAAAGCCCGGCCTGGCCTGTGAACAGGTCTAATCCCAACTATATGGGGTCAACAGATTACTTCTTTTTATGGGTGCTGTAGGTGGTCTTCTATGCACATGACCAAACCATCTTAGTTTACTCTCTCATTTTATTATCGATTGGAATTTATTTAATAAGCATAAAATGCATTAATATGTACCTCCAGGAATTCATTTAATACACCCTTGCTATGTGAAGCTGGACGTTTCTGTTGCTTCTCCATTTTTGCTACATACTGATCGTCAAATGTAAATGCAACAATACCCTGAAAACAGAAATATCTCTTAATGATATCAGGTGTTCTATAATTGATCACAAATAGCAACTGTTGCATGTCACTGATGGAAAGATTTGGCAACATTAGACATGTAGCAATACCTTGTGTGCAGCTTTACTGAACTGGGTGGCAGCATTGCTAACAGCATAGATTGTATTGCTAAGCAGACTTGTTGTGCCCTGTGCCATACTTGTAATTACTCCAGCAGGACTCTGAAAAATCAAAGTTAATTTTCAACATATGAAGCAAATGCAGCATCTTCATCCAGATCAAATGCTAAATAGAAATAATATGAACCTGGAAAATGCTCCTAATGGGAACTGAGAAAAATTCCTTAATGCCCAGTCCGACATTCCTTGCAAATCCCATGGGATTACCTATTACACCAGCTGAACCAAATACCTGCAAGGTTTTGCAAGAAAGAAGCATAGAGAGTGATCAGCCTGAAATAAAAGGAATAATAGCAGGAAAAAATATCTAAAACTGAGAGGAATAGGAGTAGAGAAGAAGAGAAGTGAACAGAATGAACTAGGGATGGAGAGCAGAAGAGATCAAACATAACTGATCTCAACTGCCGCCCCTCTTTTATTAATCTTATAATAAAACTGAAATTACATTAAAGCTCCTCTTAAGTAGATAGGAAATAAAAGAATGAAAAGAATCGCATAGCCCACTTAAATATAACAGAAATAATTTCCTAATACTTCTAACACAAGTTAAACCCTTGGTGAAGAGATCGACTAGCTGATCTTCTGACCTCACATATTCTCCACTGGTGATCTTTTCCCTGACAAAGTGGCAATCCACTTATATGTGCTTAGTTCTTTCATGAAACACTGGATTGGAAGAGATATGTATTAGTCTCCCTATTTGTTTTCTTAGTTGCAGTAGTGCAATTGAACTTTTAGATGATTGAAAAATATAATTTCATTAATTGTTGTTGTGGGATCTTTTCTTTATTCCCTTTCTCCTATCTATTTTCTTCTACATTTCAGATCTATAACTCTTTATTTCATTCCTTCTCCCTTTACCAAATCTGAATTCCTTCTTACCCACACCATGTACCAAACTCCAATCACATACAACTTGGTAGGAGTTTTCTCTTTTCTGTCCATATCAAAGGGACTGTTAAAAGATTGATGATGTTTACCATATGTGCACGAGTTCAAAACAAGAAGGCAAATTTATAAAACAGAGCTCACCTTGTACATTTCATGAAGGAATTGCCGGGTATAGTGCCTGATGAGAACTTCTTGGATGGACTCCCAGCTAGCCATATGATGTGTAATAGTTAGTTGGCGAAGATAGACAGGTGCACCCTCAACATCAGCAATAGCCATAAGGCCTCTCTATAATCAAGTTGTACTATAAATATTAATATAGGCAAGAGATGGTACCCTTAGCACATCTATGCAAATAGAACCACATTTTTATCTTGTGTTCAGACAATTGCAAATTAAGATATGTATTTGTCTAGAGTTTGACCATTGAATGATCCAATAAGAGTTCTACTTCCTCGTGCTTTTAGTAGGTTTTGAAGTTTTAAGCCTTCATCATGAGCTATCATAATTGTTTTTCAAATTTCTGAATACAGAAGATGAGAAGTATTATTAAAAACTAAAGTTTCCCTCTTTTGGGGTGGTATGGCTGCCCTAGTAGGGCATTACTCCACTATTTTAGTTTTCTCCTCCTTTATGGATGTATCCATCCTTTATAGACAACAAGGAAAAATTAGTTTAGGCCCCTTCCCCAACTTTGAACCCGACAAGAAAAATATATTTGAAGAAGTGAATTACTATTTTTTTTTGATATATAAAAGTGAATTACTATTTCCACATGATGTTTAATAAATCTATGTAATTGGCAGTATCGAAAATAGATTAAGATCGTGGTTGGTTGCATACCATTCAGACCAAGGGAAGGCTGGAAGAGAAAGCTCCTTTTTCAGGGCTAAAACCTAAGTTGTGTGTCAAAGAGAGTTTCTCCACAGACAACACTGTTCTCTTTCATTTCATTGACTGAACTAATGTTTTAAAAGCACACGGGGCATTTTGTGCCCAAGACTCAAGGCGATGCGCATGCCTTTTCGAAGCAAGGACAAAGATGCTAAAAAATAAAAAAAGCAAAAAAATTAAAAAAATATTAAACATAATATTAATTAAAAATATAAACTGTAAAACACATCAATTAAAAATATAAACAATAAAGAATAACATTAAAAAATATAAACTCTAAAACATATTAATATTAATTAAAATATTGATAATATTTAAGCTACATAAACATAACATGTAAAGCATACTTAAAATGAAAATTTAAAAATAAAATCAAGCATAACATATAAAACATATTCAAGCATGTAAAACTCTGAATCTCTTTATTCTTTGTCAATTACATTACTTCAAATAGCTAATGAGATGTTAAACATTATGCATTTGTAATTCTATGAATCACCTTTGTACCAAGCCACTCAAGGCAAGCCCAAACAAGTCCATATTAGGGTTTAGATTCTTAATCCCTATAAAAAAAGATGTTATAATTTTAATTGTCTTTTAAAAATATCTTTCATTTAAATGAATGAATAACATTAGCAAATATGGGGTTGTCTCCACTCCAGTGCTTGCCTCAAGGGGCATGGTCCACCCCTAGCCCAGCTGATTGTCCACTAATTCACCGAGTTTTTACATTATTATACTCCCTATTTGTTCCCCCCTTTAGTACAAATTCCTCATCTTTCATTCGAAAAATTGTGCTCTTTGTAGCTTCCATATTTGTGGCAGTTAGTGGTATGGATGTGCTTTAAATCATTGGATTTTCTACAAGAACAACCATAGGAGGTGTCACAAAAAACAAATTCAAGAGTGTAATTACCTTAAATATACTAGGTTTCAGGAACAGAAGTGGGGGAGGAAACTGAGCAACTTACCAGGCATTCTCAATATAGGAGGTTTGATGTGGTTGAGTCTGATGGGCCTTTGGTGGCTTCATTTTGAGACTTACCAAATGAAGGATCTACATCAGAGGCAACTTTATAGATTTACCAAGAGAAGAATCTCTGTATTCTAAATCTTTCAACAAAGTTTTATAGAAAATTTCCATTCATGGAACTATCTTTAGTCTTGGAAACTTCATCAGTTAAGGGAGAACATTATAGATTGTTGAATTGGACACAAAAAGCTTTATAGCTCAAATTGCACATCTTAGATAGTTCCAATCTATATATATATATATTAAAATTGGTCCTGCCATGTCAGCAGTCCTCTCCTTGCTTCAAACCCCCTTCCTAATTTTCTGTTTTTTTGAATTATTTATTTATTTTTTAATTCCACATAATTACCCATTAAACCAATAAGGAAATCACATATGCTTAACTATTTCTAA